AGACTTACAGTCTCCTACTTTTTAATAGTCACCAAAAAGTATTTACCAGTACTTTCATGTGCATGGAAAATACTCGAATAATTCAAAACTCGGCAAAAAACGCCCATGGGTACAAATCCTTTGAAAGTTTTCGGAACGACTATTCAATTCTGATTAGAAAATTTTACTGATAGTATCAAAGTTCGAATTCGCAAATTCTGAACCGAACACACTGCTCTACTCATATCCTCAAATTAAGCAAGGATGAATAATCAGAAAGTATTTGGAAGAGGACACCATTTTCCTTTAATTCAAGATATAAATGAAGTTTTCAGAAAAAAAAAATTCTTTTTAATAACCAATATTTCATTTTTGAAGGTTTGGTATAATAATAAAGCATGGCCATCAAGTGTAGCATTTTTAAATTTATTTAATAATGCATTATTACGTGGTAGACTTCTTGAAAAAAATTCTTCAATATCAATTGATGATTATGGTATAACAGCAATAAGTCATCCATTACCACAAACAGAAATTCAAATTGATAGTGAATTACAAAATCGTATTTCTATGGAAATGTTTACAGCCATATGTGTTATATTTGCATTAGCATTTGTTCCTGCAAGTTTTCTTGTTTTTCTTATTGATGAACAAGTAACAACATCGAAACATTTACAATTTGTTAGTGGTGTTAAAGGTAATTAATTATTCAAATTAATAGGACAACAAAAACAAAACAAAACAAATCATTTCTTTTCTTTTCTGATATTTGTTTATTTTTTTTCTTCTCTTTATGTTTAGGTATAACTTATTGGTGGGCAAATTTTCTTTGGGATTTAACAAATTATTGTGTGTCAATAGGATTTTGTATAATTATATTTCTTAGTTTTGGTATTGAAGCATATGTATATAAAATGAATTTTCTTTGTTTATTCTTATTATTATTTTTATATGGTTTTGCTATAATACCAATAATGTATCCAATAAGTTATTTATTTCGTTCACCAGCAACTGGTTTTGTTGTTATATCATCAATAAATATATTTATTGGTTTAATGACAACAATATCAACAATAACAATAGAAAATTTTTCAGATGAACCTGATTTAAAGAATATTAATGCTATTTTAACAAAATTATTTTTAATATTTCCACATTATTGTCTTGGACGAGGTTTATTTGATTTAAGTAAAACTCATGCAACAAATGTACTTAGTCTTAAATATGGTTAGTTTTTCTTTTCTTTTTTTTCTTTAAGTCTGTACATTCTATAGTCATTTTTTTTTTTTTTGTAGTTCTGGATTATGTTCCTATATCACCATTCAAGTTTGATGTTGTTGGTAGAAATCTTTTATGTTTATGTATTGAAGGTGTATTCTTTTGTATATTTGCAATACTTGTTCAATATCGATTTTTTATTCCTGATCAGTAAGTATTATATTTTAATATTTAAATAGAATGTTTATTTCTTTTTTTTTTCTTAATATTTAGTGGTTGTGTTAGTACACCAAATGATTTAATATCATCAAATGAAGATGATGATGTTGCAGCTGAACGACAAAGAATTTATTCTGATCGTAATAATACAAGTGGAGATGTTTTAAGAATGATTGATTTAGTTAAAGTATGAATATGAAAAGATTAAAGGAAAAAGTTTTTTTTTTGTTTTGTTATTCATAGATTTATGGATTGAGACTTCGAAAAAAATTGACAGCTGTTAAAAAAACATGTGTTGGTGTTAAACAAGGTGAATGTTTTGGTTTATTAGGTATAAATGGTTCAGGAAAAACAACAACATTTAAAATGTTAACTGGAGAAATTTCAATAACAGATGGTAGAGCATTTGTTAATAATTATAGTGTTATTAAACAATTAAGTGCTGTTCATAAAAATATAGGGTATAGAAAAAAAAAATGAAGAAGAATATTTGTTTTTATTTGATAGAATCTACTTTTTTTTTTTTAGTTATTGTCCACAATTTGATGCACTTGATTCTTTATTAACAGCACGCGAACATCTTTATCTTTATGCTCGTTTACGTGGGATTAAAAGAACGAATATACCATTTGTAAGTTTTTTTTTTTTATTAGACTTCTTACACATACTCATAGCAGAAGTTTACCAACGCAATTAAACTTTTGAATATTAATCATATAGAAATTAAGATGTATACTTTATTTTTGATATGAATAGACTTATATAATTTCTTATGAATCCACATGTACCTATTTTTAGTTTATTCACATTAATATATCTACAGAATGTACTAAAAGTTCATCGGAAAAGTTAACACAAATTTCAAGCGATTTAATTCATTCTTTTGTGAAACATGACCTAAAAGAAGTGTTGAAGTATAGAAGTAGAAATTCATCCTCCCATAAACTATGAAATACAATCAAAGATTGAATATCAAAAACATCTTGTTCTAATATATGAAGTATTTCCTTGTTGCATTTCTCGAGGATTAAGTACAAAGATAGTGAAGCAATGTATCCCATAATAGATAGAATAAAGCAGTCTTCCTATGATTAGAAACAATAGCTACATTATGGTTTCATATTTTAATCTCGAAAGGATTGTGCTAACAGCTTTTAATAATATGTTAGTATGTTATTTAAAGTTTTGTTCTGTATAGTTACGGATAAATGTCTGTACCTATAAACATTAGAATAAAAATTGTTTTACTAATAGTCAAATATTAGACATCTATAGTTATGAAATGAAAACTGGAAGTTGAATTTGGCAAAAATACAACAAAGTAAAGATTGCAGTGAATTTATCTTTCAACGCTTTTGTGAAACTGATACAATAGACGATCGAGAACATTCTAAAAGACTATCAAAAAAGTCCATAATGTTTGTGAAAACGAATATATGATTGTAGCTCGTTTTCACAAACATTATGAACTTTTTTGATGATTTTTCAAAACGTTCTCGATCGTCTATTGTAACTGTTTTTGCTTCATAACCATAGGTGACTAAATTTTGATTATTAATAAAACTATTTCTATTCTCATATATATATATAGGCACAGACATGTATCTGATAAAATCCAGAAAAAATATTTCGAAGAACATACTAATGCATTATAAAAAAATCAATTAAATCGCTTGAATTGTATATAAGAAAGTTGTGTTAATCTTCTCTCAACGAACTTTTGGCACGTTCTATATATTAAGTCATTGAGGCGAAAAGGTAAAAAAAACCAGCTTGTTTTTTTTTTATAGATTACTGATTGTCTATTAAAACGACTTGGTCTTACACTCTGGGCTGATCGACCAGTAAAACAATATTCTGGTGGTAATAAACGTAAATTATCAACAGCTATTTCACTTATTGGTAATCCATCGATTATATTTATGGATGTAAGTTTAATGAAAACAAAAAAAGAATTTTATAAAGAAAAATAAAAATTAATAATCATTCGTAGGAACCAACAACCGGAATGGATGTACGTGCAAAAAGATTTCTATGGAATTGTATATTAACATTAACACGTAAAGATCATAAATCAGTTATAATAACATCTCATTCAATGGAAGAATGTGAAACATTATGCAATCGTATGAATATTTGATTCTTTCTTTTCTTTTTATCTATATTTTTTGTTTGTATAGGTCTTGTTATTATGGTTAATGGTGAATTTAAATGTCTTGGTAGTGTACAACATTTAAAAACTAAGTAAATCTAATTTTTATTGTTAGTTTTTTTTTAATAAAAAAAATTTGTTTTTTCGATTAATTTGAATTTAAAGATTTGGTGATGGTTATAGAATACTTGTTCGAACAGAAATAAATAGTGATAGAAAAAATGTAATTAATTATATAAAAGAACAAATACCTGAAGCTGATATTAAAGAAGAACATAATAAAATGATACATTTTCGTGTATCAACAAATGTTCCATTATATAAAATGTTTAGTGTTTTAGAAAAAGCACGTGAAAATTTCAAATCAATAATTGAAGATTATACAATTACACAAGTAACACTTGATGATGTATTTGTTACTTTTGCTAAAATACAAGAAGAAAATCAAACATTAGAACAAATTAATAATACGAATACAAATGAAGATAATTGTTTAAAAAAGAATTTTTTTTATAAATTATTCTATAAACCACATAACAATATAATTGGTATGTTAAATTATTAATCTAAATTAATTTATTAAAATTAAATTTTTGTTTTATAGAATTAACTAAACTTTAATGTTCAAATTATAATAGTATGTACATATAATGATTTATATTTTCTAATTCAGATAATATCGAGTTTTTGTTTTCGCAGAAAAAAAAAAACTTTCAAGAATATTTTAAAATTTTTTTTACTATGTTACTTTTGTACTCAAGGGTGTATATGATTATAGATATATGAACAGGAATAATATTACTATAGCGAGAATTTATTGATTTCATTGTGTATTATTATGTTTAATTAAATAAATGAATATATGCTATTTCTTTTAGGTATGCAATAAATTCATTCAATACAAAGTATTCAAGCTTAGTTTGTCTTTTTGTTTTATTCAAGTTGTAATAACAATATTGTAAAATTTCAGTGGGCTTTTATGTATTTTTTTTTTGTGGCTGTATATCTGTGATATTTAATATTTTCCTATTTGATTTTGATCGTCCAAATTGTCTTGATTTTTTTTTTTGTTTTCTTTTATTGTTTACAATTGAATATGTCGGTGATAAGAAATATATTTTGTTCTATTCTATTGATGTAATTAAATTATTTTGTTTGTTTGTTCTCATTGTTAACAATTCAAAATCGAATCTTTCTTTTTTTTTTTCCTCTTTAATAACAATATTTTCTTAGTTATCCTTATGATTTTTGCTTTTTGTTGTATATCTTTTCTTTTGTTTAATTATAAGATATTTCTCGACAAAAGAAACAAAATTAAGTCAATAATTCTTTTTTTTTTATTATTGTTCTCGATTTGTTGATAACCGCACATATATTTGAAGTATTAGTTTTACAATTAAGAATTTAACTCAATAGCCAATATTTTTGACAGTTACTGTTTTCGTGCCAAATCTCGTATGAATCGTTTTCGACCACTAACTGGATTCATGCAGCAAAAACGACCTAATAAAAACAAAAAAAAAAGTAAAAATAATGATTCATTTAAAATAAAAAAAAGTACTCATACGTCGTACTGTCGGTTCCAATAATGATTGCAAATTATTGTCATTTGATAAAGCATGTTCTTAAGAAAAAAAAAAAAAATTAGAAGTTTTAATTTAAAAGCAAAACTTTGTGATATATTTCATTTTACCTGGAATTGTCATATGTTTCATTATCATTTGTTGAAATGCATCCTGTGGTAAATTTTCAAGTTGATTCTAAATATTTTACAAAATGAACAATGAGAATTTTTATTAATTTTTCATTAAAAAAGAGAAATATGAGAACAACAATCATAGATAATTTATCATCTTTTGTTTTCATCGTTCAATTCAATTAGCCTTGATCAAGAAATAATAGGAACGTCTTACATATATGTCTATAAATTTGTTTAGCAGATTAATAGAACTTATCGTTTTTCAACATAAGGAGACAAGGCCGATGTCTCTGTTTTGTTTACTAAGTTCCGCAAGGCCGGAAACGATTACCCATTGAAGTATATAGCACGGATATATATTCATGCTAAGTCTCAATAAAAAAATAACGAGAACCATCGTTTTTTTTTTTTTGTACTAGTAGATTGAAAACAAAACGACAACTTTGTTGTTTCTTAAATATAAGTTTTCTAGAAACAAAAAAAACATAACCATTTTATACCTGATATTGATCAGTATGTATCATTGCCAATGAATGAATAATAAGAAATTCGTTGGTGATAAGAATGAACAATAATATATGGACTAGCATTATTGATGAATTGAAGTTTTTTCTTCCAATACCAAACATATTAACAAATTTTCTATGTTTTTTTTTTCGATGATAAGAATACGAAAATCGATTTGGTTCAAATGAATTTATAGATATATGAGTATGATTTGGTTTAAAAAATATTGACTGAATGAATGTTATGACCTGCTCTTAAAACAGCGGCAAGAGGAAAGAACCTAACAAACGATAAATCTTCTATTGATTAGAAAATAGATAGCGAGAGAGGAAGTGAGGATCGAATAGAAACAAAGAGAGAGAGAGAGAGTGAATGTGAGAAAAAATTGAGATAAAGCAGAATCAACTTGTCGGTTTTTTTTTTTTCAAGCCACAATAATTTTATTTGGAAAGCTAATTTGAATCAATAGATTTTTTTTGGCAATAGAAACTAGAAGAAATTAAAAAAATACTTATCACAATTAGAATATCAACATGTGTGTAATATAATATGAGAGCAACTCATCTGTTAGAGTGCTTGTTCACTGGAAGAAATTATTATAGACTCCTTTTTAAAATCAGATACATGAGCTTTCTATTAACTATATATGTTAAATCTTTGTTTTTTTTTGTTTGCAGTAGATGTGCAATGAAATATTCAGTATTAAATCAATTCTTAGATGAATATATAATATTAAAAATATGATTTAGTAAATTCATATAAAAACTATATAATCATAACGAATAATAATTATTATATTAAAGTATTAGAAACAAAAAAAGAGAATATGTATAATGATGTTCTTTATTTATTTATTTTTATTATTATTATTTTTTATATAAGAAAAAAATTACGACCAACATTGAACATTTTGTTGTGGTACACATCGTTTTAAATTTGATGCAAACGATGAATCAGGTGGACATTCATAACGCTGTTTCGTTGAACAATCTGTAAAGAAACGACATTTAGTGTCAGCCACGAAAGATGATGGATCCCAACAATTAGTTGATGATATTGATGTTGTTGGAAATCTCACTAATGCAAAAAAATAAGTAATATAAAAAGATTAAAAAAAAAAGAACAAGTGATATATTCTTACATTTTGTTGAACATTTTATTTGAACATCATTTAATTCTTTTTCTTTAACACATTTCTTTTTATCTTCAGAATAAATAAGTGGTGTAGGACATTTTCGAGATACAGTTATCTGTTTGCCACTAGGTGTTGTTAGACATTCATAATAACTTTGACAATTATTTGAGACATTTGCATAAATTTGCTTTTCTTTTGCTAATATAAAAAAAAAAAAAGAATTTTCTTTTTGATAATATATTAAAGATTAGTAGTTCCTAATGTTTTAAATATAATATTAATTATTTGATGAATAGTTTAATAGAGATGCTGTTTTTTTTATCTCTTAGAAAAGAAGTATAGATTTCTTATTATTTGAAAATAAAATTTCGAGAACTATTTATTAGTTCGCTTTTTTTTAAAGATTGTAGTTCAAAAATAATTTAGAATATTCGAAACTTGCAAAAATTGTTTTTGAGCATCGAAAATATGTTATTGATATAAAATTCAGAACAATAATATATATAGAGTAGTATTTTTTAAATGATAGATTTTCTAGCATTACAGTGATTCAAAGATTCATAAGAGAATAATCCTAAATGTTCGCGTCCTTTTCAACTGATATTTTGCTCATAAGTAGACTTCGGTGAACTATGAAAAGTCTCCAAAGAATTTGTGCCGACGAGTATTTCTTGTCAAGTTTTAAATTATTCGAATATTTTCCATGCACATGAAAGTGATGGAAAAGGCTTTTTTCGGTGACCATTAAAAGATAGGGGGTTCGTAAATCTTTTTCAAGAGTAAACTTCTCCTCTATTAAATGCTATATAAATGATGACTCTTCGTTGTTGGTTAATAGTTTTATTAAACTCAACTCTCGAAATCCCCTAGCAGAAAAACTCACACTGTAATTATTCTTTGTATGTAAAAATTCTCCTAATGATAATGAGTATTTCTTATTGCAAAAGTACTGTGGACACATTGGTCATGGATCTCTAATATGACCAGTTTTCAATCTCTTTAATCGAATAAGAAAAACGTCCTGATTCATAGAGGAAAATTTGTTTTTTCGTTTTTCTCAAAATCAAATTTTATACGAAAAAAAAATGCGGAATCGCCTCCATTTCTCCGATATAGTATGTTTAGTCGAACTGAAACCTTTTTTACAGGTATTGGACACCGTTTGAGTGCCTAGGTTTTTTTGTTTTGAAAAATATTGCACCGTTGATTTTTGGCAGAATTTAAAACATGAATTTTTGGAGGTACGCTCAGTATTTTGATTATATTCGAATGCAAGAATATGGAACAAAGTAGGCGCCCAAAACAATATCTAGTATCTGTATGTAAAAGAAACTCCAGTTCTATCGAATGTATTGCGGAGTGATTTTTAGCCTTTGCGACCGAGATAATTTCCTAGAACGAAGTATTTGGAAATTTATAATCTATGGTAAGTTTTGTTCTACTCATCAAGATCTATCTACTCTGATAGTTTGAAATATTTCTAATGAGCTGTTCTTCAGAAGCTTCGCGAAGAGGAGTCCCTTATGCCGAATGTATACTATTCGGCAGTACGATAAAAACTTGCATTTCAGGAATTTCGAGATTTATTGTCTGCGAACTTCTTAAAATTGCTACATTGGAAAGTCAAGTAAAATCTAGTTATCATAAAATTCATTCTCAAAAAAGATTTGGGGTCTCCTACCTTTAAATAAAGACGAAAAAGCATTCGCCATTACTTTCATTTGCATGGAAAATACTCGAACAATTCAAAACTCAGCAAGGGACATCCATGAACATAAATTCTTTGGTGGTTTTTCATACGCGAACATCTCAGAATGTTTCCTTCTCAAATAAAATTAATAACAAGTTTTGGAAACACGAACAGATTTTAATTTATAATACAAGAAAAAATAGAATAATATATTCATCATATTGTTTAACATGAACAACATTTTAATACTTACAATATAGACAATACGATCCTGCTGTATCTGTTTGATCAGGTTTTGGAGTAGTTGTAGGTGTAGTACGTGTTGTGGTTGGTTTTGTTGATGGTTCTTTTCCATTGACAATATCTTTTGCTGTATTAATTAATGGAAACTTTCCTTCGTTGCATTTATCACCACGAAAATCATCTAAATCCATTGTCCAAAACATAGCTCCACCTAAATCCATTTCATTGACATATTCAGCCTATTTAAATAAATATAAATGTTAATATTAAAATAAAAAAAGAATAGAATATGCAACAGGATTATAAATTATTCGAGCCATTGGAAACAACTAATTAATATAGATAAGACTGTATAACATAGATTTTTTTTTATTCCGAAATTAAATAGCCTATAGTTGATAATTTACATGTTAAGTCAGAAGATAGTGATCGGTAAACTTCTTTAAGTATCTTAGATTTACTTAAATTAGTAAACTGTGATTAAAGCCTACGGCAAACAGAGATATCTGATGAATATTCAAAGATCACTGTGCAAACTGAAGTGGTAGAACTCTGCCTAAAGAATTATTGAAGAGATATTTCTTTGCTTATATTTTTCTCTATTTTGCCTGGATTTTTTTCTTCCTTTCTCAAACTCAGCAACAAACTCTTGGAAGAAAGTTTAAAGCAGCAATTCGCCTAGTTCATCGTACTTCATTCGTTGTTCTGGCGAATTTTTTCTCATTTATTCGCGAAGATCCACTCGAAGACTATGTCAAACGATATATCTCAAAGGGATTAAATAATCTACACTCATCTGATTTTGATACTGGAAAACATATCTTTTTTTTGGGAGGAGGGGGGGGGGGGGGGGGGGGGGTTGTTATTATCGACTGACTAATGTCGGTATTGGTCACTTCTTTTCGATGAAGCGGGTAAAAAGATTAGAAGCCCAATACCATTTACTATTCCTAACCTGATTAGAATTCGTTAGAGTCATACCTCTTGAGAAACCAACAAAATCCATTAGTGTAGAATAGACATGTGATCTTGCGATCCTTTCTTCTCACTATGTTTCTCCGTTTCATTGTTTTTCTCTTTTCTTTCTTTTGATTTATCATTATTTTTCCCGTTAGCACTAACGAGTGTTCCAATAAAATAGAGTTTAAACCACAAAAAAAAACAACGGATAGATATCTTACTTTATGAGTTATACTCTTTATGTCATCATAACCAACCCAATTCGAACCCGAATAGGCATATGGTACTTTATGTTGATCCGACCATTCTTTTGTCCATCCTAAAGAAAAAAAAATTGATACATTAAAATATTCTTTTTCATTATCAAACAAACTAACCTTGCTTAAGTTTTTCACATACTTCATAATAACCCATAAAACCACTTTCTGCTGTATATGGACCAGCCATTGCACCATGACCAAGAGTAGGAGAACCTAATTTAAGCAGAAACAAAAAACAAACAAACATATAAATAAAATGCTTAGTTCTTTATACCAATTGCAGTCGCTGATGGATTAGCGAGTAGATGAGTTCGTCTGTAAGTAATATATATGAAAAGAGCATTTCATTTTGAAATTAAAATCATCATTAAATATATATTTACCCATATGCACCCATGCCTAAATTTAACTTATCTCGTGTACAATCTGGTTTTTGTAACATATGTTCAACAGTTTGTTTTTGACTTGTTAATGGACTATTATGTCCAGCATTACTTTCCCATTGGCCAGTATAATCATATGTCATCAAATTAATAAAATCTAAATGTCTAAAATATATTTCATATAAAATATCAATTAAATATACAATTGATTAATTTTATTTACTTGCAAACTTCAGGTTCATAACTACCATCATATCTCCAAGGTGATGCTGGTGTTGCAGCTGTTAATAGAAGACCTTCAGGTTTGTATTTGTCACTTAATTTCTAATTGAAAAAATAAAATTTACTTTTAGAAATATTTAATATATCATATATTATTTATTTTATTACCTTAACTAATTGTGTAAATCGACCTCGATCCTCAGGAGGACTACCACGATCAGCTGGATATTCCCAATCTATTAGAAAAAAAAAGAAAACAAACAATGAAATTCAAGTTAAACTATAATTTTTAATTTTAATTTACCAAGATCAAGACCATCGAATCCATATTTTTTAAGCAAATTATATGAATTTTCAACAAATTGTTGTTGTGATTGTTCTGTTGCAACCATTTGTGTAAATGGTGCTGATCCATGATTCCAACCACCAACTGCAAGCAATATTTTTAAATCAGGATTTTTCTCTTTTAATGCAATGATTCGTCTATAATTTTCTATAGATAAGATAAAGAAAAGAAGTATTTGATTTTGTTTTTTTTTTTTTTTTGTATATAAATATTTTAATTACAAACCAGGATCAGTTCCTTCAGTTGTTCCTAAACTATTTCCTTCAACTTTTGCAAATGAATAAATAATATGTGTACATAAATTAGGGTCAATATCATCAACAGAAAATTGTCCAGCGCCTGGTCGATAAGCAGCCCAATTTGTATAGTAACATATGACTCGTTTTCCATAACCTATAGAATAATTTGTTCGAAATAAGAAAATTATTTTCATATAAAATACCTTCGTTTACTATCAGAAATAATAGTGCAGATAAAAGGCTGAATAATACCAAAGAAATCTTTGATAATATGTGTATGTATGTATTTTTAATTTTTTTTAATTTTTACTTACAATAGAAATTTCATCTTTTATGGCTGACAATAATATGTTTTTTTGTACTGATTAGAAAAAATAAATAAAATGAAGAATCATGTGGTTTTTCTCAATATATTGTCACCATTTGTAATATGATATTGGATTTAATTCTGTGAGATAACTTCAAGGCAAATCAGTATATCTATTCAATTTTTTTTTTCAATAACAATCATTGTATTTTGATAGATGATATCAAGTATACTTTACACTATTGTAATACTCCTACAATTTGAAGTATACAGTCCATGAATAAATGGGCTTCTAGTATATTAGTAGACATGCAAACTCAGTCTTTTTTTTCCATTATATTAAGTTACTAGAATAAATCCTGTGTTTTTGTTTTGATATACTCTAAGAGAAAAAGTATTTACACCGAATTCATACTGAAAATTAATCCTTGGAATTTAGAAAAAAAAAAAACTACGACGAAAATATTCGATTAAAGATTCGATATGATTTAAGCCATCGATTTTTTATTTCGTCGAATTATATTTAGACAAATTTTTAGAAATAAATTGACTTTTTCATAAGATTTAGTATACAAATTGTTCATAAACATTTAATGAACCTTATTCACGATTCACTTGTTTGCCACGAACATGCATAAAAAGTAGCCACATACTAGCTCACAAATTGCTCAGATCGATCTCTTTCCTCTCATCTATTGTTCAGTCTTTTTCCATCGCTTTACTGGCATATGTCAGTAAAGTGATTGAAAAAGATAGATAAAAAAAAAGAAACTGCCCTGAGCAACATATGAGTTAATATGTGGCTACTTTTTTATGCATGTTCATGGCAAACAAGCGAATCATGAATAAGACTCATTAATAAATTCATGTAAATTTGGAATTCGAATTTAATTTTTACGCAAAAACACTTTCGTATGAGTTACAGTTTGATATATATTTCGTATATAAGAAAATTTAGATTCTTACAAATATTATCTTGTATATGTTCAATTTTGATTTCATCATTAATAATTTTCTGAACGAATATTGAATTGAATTTTTATTGAACAAATAAAATAACAATACAACAGGTTATTTACAAATGGTCAAACTTCAATACATTTTGTATATATAAAGGCAAATCTGAATTATTTAATATTTAGAAGAGCACAATCATACTCTAGTTGATTAATGAATATTAGATATTTTGAAATTAGTTCTTGTTATCTTTTCAAAGATTCAGTGAAAAGAGCAGATTAGCTTGGTTTTTTTTGTTTCTTGATTATTAAAAAAAAAAAACAATAGATGATAGCTGTAAGAAATATGTCAGTGATATTATTTTTTCTTAGCAAAGGTTATTAATTCAGTGCGTAGATCACGTAACAATGTTAAAAAAAAGAAAAGGTTCACAACTTCAATCAAACGTCGGACATAGTTGGTAAGGTAACACGTTCGCCAGGTTTAAATGGTGGTAAACCACGTGATGGACAACCAGCACATCGAAAAGCATCGCCTAAATAACACTAAATAAAACAAAAAAAATATTGTCCATGGCAATGTCTTATATTTGTTGTTTCTCAATACATACACTTCCACATGATGATTTAACCGTTTGTTTTGCTGCTGTATGTTCTTCTTGTTCAAGTTCTTGTGCTAAACCACATGAACAATTTTTACATGCTTTTCGAACACCAGTTGATGTTGTACCACAATCATATTCTAAATTAAAAGAAATTTTTCTTAAAGAAAAAACAAGTCAATTTTCATGAGAAAAAAATTCAAATTGAGAGATAATAGCCCGAGGTTTCATCTTTCATAAACGATATGTTGTTTTTCTTTTTTTGTTTTTTTTATTTGACACCTCGTTAATGATTTTCGTCACCTTATACTTGAAAAATATTTTTTGTTTGAAAGAACATATCAAGCTGTACAGTCCGTTTTTTTGTTTTGAACTAATCTTTTTTTTTTTATTATTATATAAAAAAGTACTTGTATAAATAGATGAGTCTTTTCTTAAGTTTCCGAGACATTGCACTTATCATCCTTTCTCTTTGAATAGAAAATATAGGGTACTGCAGTCTAATATGCCTTTTTGAATAAAAAAAGAAAATTAAATCTATATAATAATGGCTCATAACGAACAAATGAGCAATTTTTGATTAACCTATCTTGAAAATGTCATTCAATTTGAATGTATCTGACTCAAGATCGATTTTTGAGAGGAGACTTAAGGATTCCCTCCCCTTTCTGTATGTTAAAATCAAAATTTTTTTATTTTTAGTTTTTCATCGCTAATACAGCGTCGAAATGTCCTCTATCAAATGTCATATACATGATGCTTCTAACGATAATGATTATTTCTCATTCTAAAAATGTTGAGCGTCAGTTTTCGATTACTTTAGTTGAGAAGAAAAAAAGTCCTGATACGTACAGGAAAATTTGTTTTTCATTTTTCACAAAATACATTTCTACACAACAAAAAAGTGCAGATTCGTCTCTGTTTCTCCAATATCATACATTCGATCGAATTGAAACGTTTTTTTGTTTTTATAAGTATTGAACACTGTGTGAAGTGTTAGGAATTTGAAGTCTATGACAATTTTTGTTGTACTCATTGAGATCTATCTACCCTAACAGTTTCAAATATTTCTAATGAACACTTCGAAAAGAAGGATTTTTCAAAGAAAAATAAATTTACTCTTAACATCAGGTTTTTTTCGATCATTTTCATCTAATAATTCATCGGTATCAATTAAATCATCATCTTCCATTGTCCATGTTTTTTTTTCACCAGTTGTTGTTGTTGTTGATGATGATGATGATGATATTTGTCCCATACGACTATCAGTTGTTGTACTTCGTAATGGTACTGAATAACCAATATCAAATGATGGTTTTTGACATAACCATAATGAACCAAATTTTTTAATATCATCATCTTTATTTTCAATTAAAAATGATGAATTTGTATCCAATGGATTACAACTACTAAAACCACACATTTTAAATTGATCAATTATTTGTGATTGTTTTGTATGTTCAATATGTATTATAAGATAACCATTTGGACGAAGTAAACGAAATAATTCATTTAATATATCAATATCTATATGTGTATTTCGTTTACTTACAAGGCCAAAAAGTATTATATCAAATGATGATGATGAACGACCAGCTATTATAAATAAAATGAAATATCTATTTTTTTTCTTTTCTACAAAAAATCTTTATTAAACTTACATTCTACAAGCATTTCAACATTTTCAAATGCAGTACTAGCTTGTTTTGCTTTGGTTTGTACGACATCTTGAAATATTGGTAAATTTTCCGGATTAACTTCAGCAGTCCAAATAACAAGAATACTTTTAGCACGAGCAAAAATTTCATCCATTGTCATTAGTATTATTTTTGTATAATAATCTAAATATAGAAAAAAATATATAATGAAAAATCGATTTCATAATTGTAATTAGAAAACAATTCGTCGAAACGAAAGCTTATCTTTTAATTCTTAAAGAAATTCGATCCTTTATTACAATTTTACAGAACCAATAATTAAAAATGATTTTCACAACTGATTAAAATAAAATCTCAAATCAAAATGCTGATCAGTTCTCTAAACCGATAGAAACATCAGGTTTTTCAGACAGGGATAACTATAGTTAATTACATCATATCAGCATCCACCGGGATTCGAACCTTCTATTAAATAACTCATATCATTTAACCATTCAACTAAATCTTTCATATTAATATAAAATTAAAAATCAAATAAATAACATATGATATATATATATATAAATATATATATATATATATCTATATGTGTGTATATGTTTTTCTTTTTCTTTATTTCAAAGAGAAAAGAATGAATAAATTGAGTCTATATTAGAGAAGATGAAACACACACACGTGTACAGTACAAACATAAAGACAAGAAAAACCAGAGAAAGAGCAATGGATGATGAAAGCAAGAAATAAGAAATAAGAAAAAAAAAGATGAAATGTTGTGCATATTGTTGAACCAAATAACAAGAAACAAAAAAAGAAGAAAGAGAAACGTCGTCGTTAAAGACTAGACAAAAAGACAAAGCAGGTGAAACGAGAAATGAAACAAAAAAAAAATAAGTTTTTGCTCTTTCTGTTTTTATTCCTTCGATAATCAGCACCAATACAATCTTTTCGGATTTGCTTGCTAACGGATTTTTTTTTATTTTGTAGACGTAGTAGAATTCTATGTGTGAGTTTTCTTTTTCGGTCACAAACAAACAAAGAAAAAAAAAAGGAAACGAATTATCTACTCATCTATATTTACACCCACACCCTCAACACATACATACATTTATATATTTATATATATATATATATATATAAAGAAAAAAAAAGAAAAAGAAAAACGTATATAAGAACAATGAAAAAACTGAATATAAGAGACCAACAAAAAAAAGAAAAAAGACGTAGAGAAATTGGCCGATGTTAATAAATCGACAAAATATTAAACACGCAAAATTTTTTTTTAAAGCATTTATGCGTGTGTGTGTGTTTGTAAAGAAAATAATATAATCAGGAAAAAAAAATATATGTATATATATATCAAAAAAAGAACATATTTTTTTTTTGTTGTGTGCGTTATGTAATAAATAAAGTATATGGTATAGGATACTATTCTCGTATCTTTTGTATATTAGAATTAATTTGAACCATCATTCATCGTTAATTGAGCTATTCGAGCTGATGCATTTGTTGTTGCACGTTTAGGATATGAACGTAAATATTCATCATCAGCTAATTGATTTACATCAGGTCGATCACGAACATTATATGTTAAACATCGTCTTATGAATGTCTGAAAACAAAAAAAAAATTTTAATTAATGTTTTTTGAAGTAGTTTGAAATATACTTTTGCTCCATCGGATATAATTGGTTTAGCTGGAAATTCAATTTCTTTAGCTTTTAATATTGTTTGATTTTCAAGTATAGCTGCTTGAGATTGATTATGACCATAAGGTTTTCGACCATATAAACATTGAAAAAAAATACAACCTAAACTCCATACATCAACTTTTGATGAGATTTTAGGTGGGTTTGGTCCTTGAACAAATACTTCAGGTGGTAAATACCTATTGAAAGAAAAACAAAAAAACACAATTTAATTAAAAAGACAATTCATAATAAAAGGATCAAGTTATCGAGATACTGATCAAAATTTAAATTAAGACTTTTTTGTATTACTTATTTACTATCTAGAAGATAATGATTAAATGTCTACTATAAATTATATTTCCATAAGTTAGAGAATTTTTTCATGCAAATCTATTTATATAATCGAATATGTAATGGAAAAGGTCATCATTTCTGAGTTCACACAACACATCGATTTTTGTCAGCATATATATTTTTCAAAATCAAATCAGTCCAAACTGAATTTTATATATGTTATGTAACTTTTGATTCTCTACAAAATGATAAAAGAATATTGAGGAAAAAAAAAGTTTCGCTTCGGAACGAAATATAATTCCCATCACTTTTCTACTCATTGATTTTTCAATAAAAAAAAAAAGCAGTTTTCATTGCCATGATATGATTGTAACGCAGAATAAAATGTAACATTTGGAGTCAGCGTGAAATCTTACATTGAATCAAATCTATTTTGGAGAAATTTTTTCCTATGAAAAAATCACCTGTGATCTCCCACAGGTTTATCTTATTAAAGTTTTGCTCCGTAATTCTCCAGAGATTAGTTGTTTACAGGAAAAATTTTTTCTAGAGTCTATAAGACTCAATGTAACTTTTTAACGTTGACTCTAAATGTTACAATCATACATTGACAATGAAGACTGCTTTTTGTATTCGATTATATAAACAAATGATATATATAGTATTTGAAATAGCTCATTTTGTTCAGTTTTTTCATGCTAAAAACACATAGAACAAAACAAAAATTTAAATTTTGATCAGTGTCTCGGTTTCTTGGTTGTCTTATGAACCAACTCTTAATTTTCGGAATAGAAAAAAAAATTTTTTTTTGTCTCATTTACCAATAAGTTCCAGCTCCTTGTGATGTTAAATCCATTCCATGTTCAGGATCATATGTATCTTCACACATTTGTTTACTTAGGCCAAAATCTGTTATTTTAATTTCGCCACTACTTGTACCCGAGCCCAAGAGAATATTTGCAGGTTTAAGATCAAAATGTATTACAGGTGGCTTGATACCATTATTTAAATAACGTAATGCACTGACAGTTTGCATAACAACAGAACGTGCTTCTTTTTCAGGTATGACTTTATGTTGTTTTAAGAAAAAATCTATATCATTTCCTTCGATATATTCTAGAACAGTACAAAATCTAGAAGATGTAGAAAGACAAAAAAGAAACAAATGAAAGAAAAAAAAATTGAATTTTTTGTAATTTCTTACGAATCTGTATCGATTTCAAAAACATCATAAAGACGAACAATACGAGGATGATCAAGTGTTTTAAGAATGTCACATTCACGTAAAGCATGTCTTAAAAAAAAAAAAAAGAAAAAAGAAAATATTCGATGAAATTATAAAAGAATATTTTACTTGATATAATTTGCTTTCTTTTCTTCTTTCCATTCTTTATTAAGTTGATGAACTTTAACAGCAACATAACGTTGTTCTTTTAAACAGAAGGCCTTTAAATAATTAAAATAATCATTTTCATATTAGTTTTTTTTTTTTTAATATCTTCTTTGCATTGATTTTACCTTATGCACTTCGCTAAAACCACCTTTACCAATCAGACTCAGAAGTAAATAACGATCATTAAGTACAGGATGATCTTGAAATCTAGATAAGAAAAATTATAGATTATTAATTCATGGAACATTTCAATGATTAGAATTATCTATATAGCTTAACGATAAGAATTTTGCACGAATTATTAATGTAAGCAAAAGAAAAAAAAAACAAAATTGTACAAGATATATTGACTTGAGACAAAAATAATTGTAACATTGAGATATTTTATAAATAAATTTTATAATGTTGAATTTAATATATGCTATGAAATATTCTACGAGAATAGCAATGAAAATTTCCATTGAATTATTTTAATCATGTTCTTCTAAGGCTACAACTGAAGCACTGTGTGACAGTCAAATATTCCATTATTTTGAGAGAATTAAATATGAAAGTAACCTCAAAAATAGTTGAAGTGGGTCAAGTGCAAGTACAACAAAAATCATACTCGAACTTGTCCAACTCGGAAAAAATCGTGGTTTTTTTTTGTTTCAAACAAATTTTTGTATGATAAACTTTATAAAGAAAGTTCAAGTCTAATAATATAAAACTGATAATGAAAAATATAAATGCTATTATATTGTTCAACTGATTGAAGAAAGAAGCTCATTGTTTTGTAAATATAACTCAAATGAATTTTTTCGTACGATTCATTTATTGTTTATTTTTTTTATACACAATGCTTTAATTTTAGTCTTATTAGAAAATAGTTCAAATAAATCATTGGATTTTGTCATTGTATAATTTTTGTAGAGAATTTCACGTCACATATTAAATTCAACGTTATAAAATTTGTTTTTATTGAGATATTTGCAAAAAACAACCTGATGTTGCAATCATTCTGTCTCACTCGGTATGAGTCAGATCTCGAAATAGGGGTGTCCGATGTTTTTTTCATAAATAAGAAAACTGATTCTAATCGATTGGTTTTTCTTCAATAAAAATCGATTAAAATAGTACTGATTGACTATGATAAAAATCTTATTTATTCACCTTGAAGACAGTTTTCATTTGATTTATATCTTTCTGAATTGATCAGAATCAAAAGAAAAAAAAAAAGAGACTAAACTCAATTGAAATCTATCTTTAAAAGTAAAATAATCAGAATTGAAATATATCATTTTAATCGATTTCTATTGTAATTCATTGTATAATCGATAATAATCAAGAAACGTTATTATACGAACGTTTTCTTTTTTTCAAGTTTTATTTACTCAATCAATCAAAACAGATAGCATTTATTCGATTCAATGACGTATCTCATTCATAAAACAAGGTCAAATATACCATTAACTGTGTTAAATAATATGAGTGTTAACGAAGTGGAACAATATTACCTATATAACTAAAAATAGTAATCGATTTGATTCTATAAAATTAATCAGCAAGCATTTTGTTCATAAAAAATATTATACTAATAAATCATAGTCTACAAAAAAAAAAATTTAACGTATTCATTTTATTCTTTCACATCAATAAATCATTCATCTTTATATCTCATACTGTTTATTCAAGCATTAAAATTATTCAACCTTATTGAACGCGTAATCACTATGATAATAGCCTTTTTATTATAATGTTCGAATAAATAACTGAAGTTTTATTGTATATAAATATGTTTTTTTAATAGTCTCATTCTGAACACTAAGTTGGATTGAATTTTACCTGGAATGATCTTCATTGTAAATTCGTTTTAATTCCCGTATATGTAAATTTCTTTCTCGTTCAAGTTTTTCATATTCAATTTGAAGATCGACTTCTTCTTTTTTCAATGATGCTTGTCGTAAACGTAAAATTTCATCAGATTCATACCATTCACTTATAATTATTCTATCAAAATGAATTTTATTTAACAAAAAACAAAAACAAAATTGTCTTCTTTTTCTTGGAAACATACGCTTTATTTGCATCACTTGCTGCTTTAATTCCATCATTACTACTTTCATCATTTGTTAGTAATGTATTACTACGATCTTTACTTTTTGCTCTTGTATAAGATGTTTTTGTTAGTTTTTCTTTAACTTCATAATTTGGTCGACGACGTAATAGATTTCGACGTTCACGATCGAGTTCTTCTCGTGCACGTTGAAGCATTTCTTGTTGTCTAATAAAAACAAATAAAATTATATTTGTTTAATTTAATTACAAAAAAAAAACAACAACATACTTTGTTATGTCAGTAAATGCTGTACCATCAGTCCAATTTTCTACAAATGTTGCACCTTGTCTTTGTGTAACAAATTGACCAAGTCTTAAACGATTTTCCATACATTTTTGTCGTGCTTGTTTACGTTCGAGTGTGGACTAGAACAAGAAAAAAAACAAAACAAATGTATTAAGAAACGTTTTTTATAGTATCTTCAAGTTGAACAATCTCAACTCGAAGATATTATCTTATCTTTACAACTATTCAAATCCTAATAAAAGAAAAAGAGAGATTCTAGTATTTTTTTTTCGAATGTAATAATAAATGAAACAATACAAGAATGCAACCCATTGATAGTTTTCGAGAGATGAACTTACAAGGAAATTTCGAAAAAAGCTTGAAAAGACTTCTGAAGCAGATTTATGACCATTGTACTAAATTTTTGACTTTAGAATGTCCTGAAAGTTTGAGCCTAAAAAGGAATATTCTTTTATCGAGGTATTAAATTCCTAAGTAAACTCGATTTTTGTGACATATGTGTAGTAAGTGACTATATGTTGGAAATTCAATATCTTGACAAAGGATTATTCTAACGATCATAAGGTCTATCTTTTTATTGAAATTTTCTTGTAAGCTCAAACAGTGAATTACATTTCGTATAGTTCCCTCATTAGAAATAGATTTTTATTAATTTCAATGACTTTTTATTATCAAAAAACTAGTTTGTAATGATGTTTTTTATAATTTTCAAAATGTCCTAATATTTTATAATCATTTGACCTTTTCGTATACTTCTTGAACGAAATTGTTTCGTTCTTATCTATTCGAGAATATCTTTTACGTATAATAAAATAAAACAGAATGTTAAACTTTAAAATTTAAGACTAGTAATAATTTTATGATTTTTTAAAGCTGAAATTGATAATTAAAATTTAATTATGTATTCATACTTTTTCTACAAGTAATTTCTTATTAACAGCAAGACATTTTTGAAGTACATTTGATTGTTTATCAAAATCTTTTTTTACATCATTTAATTGTCGTCGTAGATCATCTCGTTCCTTGATGACAAAAAAAGAAAAAAAAATAAGCAAAATAATAATTAATTTAAATTAAATTTCTTTTTTACTCTTATTAACGTTAGTATTTGACTGTTCTTAGCTCCAAGTTCATTTGACGTGGAATTTATTGTTCCACTAATATCAGTCTAATGAAAAACAAAAATAATATTTAAAAAATCAAAAAAAAAAAACGAAATTTACTTGTGTTTGTTTTGAATTAGCTGTTGAATTATTTGATGATTCAGATGTATGATTTGAATTTGAACCAGAATCACTTTGAACAGATGAAACAGGTGAAAAACCAATTTCACGATAATTTGAAGAATTCTTAGAAAAATAAAAATAGAATTTTGCTTTAATAAAAGAAAAATTCTTTTTTTTTTTGTTTTCTTTTACTTTAGCTATAAATATTTCTGGATTTAAATTTATTTTTTTTTCCATTGTTATTGGTGGTTGTAATTCTGTTAATGTTAGTTGTTTTTGATTCATATTCATTTCACTTTTACGTCGTTTTACTTTTTGTCCATCATTATTATCATCAATTTTAGGTGTTCGTTTTCGTCGTGGTTTATCTATTGTTGATGAAAATTTTTTTAATGAATTTGTATGTAAAATTTTTGTTGGATTTTGATTTGATGTTGATACTGTTGTTGGTGGTGTTGTTGTTGTACCAAATAAACGAAATGGTGATAGTGCTATTAGTTGACAATCAGTTTCATCTGTATCTGTTGGACTTGAAGTTTTTGGAATTATTCCTAAACCATTAATGGATGGTGATGCACGATTATTACTGTTATCTATTGAATCACTACGTTGAGGAAATAATTTAAATGTTGGAAAATTATTATCTAATGGAAGAACATCTTGACCTAGAGATATACATACATGTGCATATATATATATATATACATATAAAGAGAAAGATGTATAATTAAGAATCGAAATTTATTATTTTATTTCGTACCACGTGAATTAAATTGATTTTCGGATGGTTTCGATACGAGATTCATTCTATAAAATAATAATTATTGTTTGTAAATAAATAAAAAACTCATATCTAGAAATGACAAAAGAAAAAAATGGGCGTTTTTTTTACTTATCGATAGAGGTCATACATTGTATATTACATATAGATATATATATATATATATATAATTAATTGAGAAATGTAAAAACAAATGGAATATATGAAAAACTAAAGATTCTTTATGTTCATTAGACTTTGTTTTGCAATAACTATAAATATATATATTTCGAAAATTTCCGGTTATGTACATAACAATATATTATCAATACTATTTCCTTCAGCCTTCTTTTTTTTTTTTTTTCGTTGATATGTAATAGTTAAATTTAAAATAATAAATAAGAATAATATTGAATAGATTTTTAACTATTGATGAGAAAATTTGTTTTTTTTTTTCAATGACAAATAAAATTCTCGAAAAAAAAAACAAATCATTATGGTGGACAATTAGTAGCATCGCCAGTGCGTGCTTGCGTGCGTGCGAAACTTGCAAGCGATCGATTGTTAAAACAGCTCGTTCTTACATAATTTATTTGTTAAAGAAATAACCAATGAAAATTTTTTTTCTATTGAAAAAAAGAGGACACCATTTAATGACAATAGAAGAGAATGAAAAAAAGAGAATTCATTATGATTAAACAATCAAATATAAAATTTGATTTAGAATTAACAAGAAATTTAATGAAAAAAGATAATTCAACAAAAACGAAAAGTCAATTAATGGAAAAAAATTATATTTGTCAACGATATGCAGCAAGGTAGATGATTTAAGAAAAAAAAACGGCGCACGCGCGCAAATAATTATTTATAGTATTTTAATGTTTATCGAAGTTTATTTCGAATGTTCAATTCTACATCAATATGAATCGAAAAGTAAGAGGGATTCACGCGACAGACGGGGTCAGAATAATATCAGTAACTAGGTGAGTGAGTGTGACATTTGTTATTGTACGTATTATTGACAGTATTTATAAAAGGGAAAACCCTGGTTTCAAGTACAATGAAGAAACGAAATAAAATGATACTATGATAAATATCACTCTCATATTATAAGAATATATATTTTCAATTACTATATATGACTTGATGTCCGTCACATGTATACAAAAAAAAAAGAAAAGGGTATACAAAGTGTCTCGTAGTGAGTCACTATGGTTTGACACATATTTAGATAAGTCTACGGGAATAACAAGAATGTTACTGCTCAGATAGTTGCACGTTGATGATGTATACTCTCGTGAATGTTCAGAGGGCTGACTGTGAAGGTAACGACAATGTCAATATCTAATTTCAGCATGCATTTTATTGGTTTTTTAATTGCTTAGAGTTTAAAAAAAGAAGTTCTATTGAAGAGAAAATGTTGTAGAAGCATCTATTGCTGGAAAGAAGAAGTGTTACGGAAGTAACAGTCATGCATTCATTTATTGACACAATTTAAATTGACATTGTTTTACATGAAAGAAATTAAATCTAGACTTTTTGCTCTTGTATGAATAACTGCTATTTATTTTCTATTTTGCTTATATAGTAATACATGAACATGACTTTTCCTACGGATATTGATAGTTGGAATTCAAAATATATTATTTTTTGAAAAATTGAAATAATAATTTTAAGAAAATCATGAAACATAATTAAATTGATATTTAGTTGATATAATTTTAACTTTAACATCGTTTTAATGAGTGGAAACATAAATGCTTAAATATAAAAAAATCGAACCCTTTGTTAAATGTTTAATTAATTTTAATTATCTTTTTTTTTCTGTGTCAATGAATAAATGTCACACGATATTGAGTCTCGAAGCATAGTATATATGTGAAAGGTTTATCTAGCATCATCCTGACTATTTGTCGAACGAAGAGTCCGAACAAGCGATAAAAAAGCTGAATTTTTATCTAAAAACTCGAGAAAAAAAAGGCATTTACAGTCACCATGGTGAAAATTGAATTTTAATCATTATTTTGATTAGAAATATGATTAGAAATAGTGTCATTTTAATCAGAAAAAATTGACCAAAATCAGATATTTTTTTCAGGTTTTTTTTTTGCATGAGACTACCGAATTCAAGTGATTTGTAAATTTGAAAAAGGCACATTACTATAAAATTTCTATAATTACAATAATTCATATCCGAATTCGATTTCGAATGCAAACAAACATATTTAATTGTGGATGTAGATATCACACAATAAATGATCATGTTAACCGATATACAAATGTTCTCTATGGAACATCACATTGATCATCAAGCGAGGTTATTCATTATAAATCTTTGATTCAAAAGCTTACTTTTCGGTCTGGAACTGATGTTAAATTTCCTCTTATTCATAATTCTAAGATTTTTTCAGTACTACAATCGAAGTGGAAGTAATTAGCGTTAATAAATTCATAGTTGTTTGCTTTACTTCAAATGTACTTTTCTTTGAACAAAATACTATATAAATAAGTCATAAAAAATGACTATTCTCAAATTCATTCTTTGTGTATTAGTGTATTAAAGCAGACGATTATTCGTGTTAAAATGCATTCATCTACCTAATTTATCGAATGCATACGTTAAAACATGTTCATTGATCTAATATCTTCATTAAAATACATTGGAAGTACGACAAAAAAAAATTGTTTCGACGCATTTATTTCTTTAATTTATCGAGTGAACGAGTTTCAAAGCGTTGTTTTCTTCAATTTTCACTTTCAATGCGTCAAAACAATGTTTTTGCCGCTTATCTGCTTGCTTGAACGTTTCCATATAACTTAGTTTTTCCAGTGTTTTTGATTTAATGAAAATTTCAATCGACAAAATTATTATATTTTAGAATCAGCTCATTAAACTACGTCAAATGATATGTAACATAAAACAATTTCGAAGAAAAAAAAAATGAATACAAATGTTTTCTTCAGACATTTTTCGTCGAAAACATATTTTTCCCCAAAACAATTTTTTTGTGTAAAAATGCTTTTCTGCATTATATCCAACCATTTCCGAGCAAGAAAGTCATACATCCATGTGCCATACAAAAAAGTGCACACTATGCTTCCCGCACAGAGTGTGACAAACGTCGTTGATATATAATCAAAGATCATGTGTCAATAACGTCTCGTTCTAATATATGAATTACTTCCTTTTTTTGCTGCATTGCTATAGGATTAAATAAAAAGATGGTAAAGACATGTATTTCACAATAGATAAAAAAAAAGAAATCTTCCTGTGATTGGAAAGTCAGGCACGTCGTATTTTTCATGTTAATTCCGCAAGGATTGCATTAACAGCTTTTTTTTTTATCGTTTTTTTATATTTTCGACATGACAGATAAGACGATCAATATGATATTCTTCTAGTTTATGAAAATATTCTATTTAGTATCTGCAAGACTACTGTCCTTGAATTTTCTATTTACATTGAATGCAATAAATTAAAAACTATATTTTTCTTCTATTAAAAAGAAAAGAAAAATTATTGCTTCTGATTTTGTTCAAAAATTTTCATTTTTACAAATTTCAATATCTAATATGTTTTCCTATTGAAATCTACGAAGAATATAAGTGAACAAGAAATATTCATTATTTGTTTATCTAGAAATTAGATTATATATAAAAAAAACTTTCTTTAAATATCTATAGAACAATATTAAATGTTTTTTCTTTAGACATGGACTTATTGTTACAACTACAACAAATAAATCAAAACTATTTACTTCATCTAATCAACAATCAACAAAATTAACACATCAAATTCAAGAAACAAATATAAATACAACAATTATTGATATATTAGAAAAATCATCTAATGATTGTCCTTTAATTGAAACATCTTTTAAAGAACGAATAGATAAATATTTTAATAAAAAAGATAATCAAAATTTAATAATTAGTACTGAAACAAAACAAAATTTAAATAAATTACAAAAAATAACAAATGATGTTAAATTATTAACAAAACAACTTCAATTATCAATAGAATTTAATAAAAATAATAATTCTTCAATTCCTATATTAGGTAAATAATTAATTTTTCTTTCTTATTCGTTTTTTTTTTTTTTTTATAGATGAACGTTTACTTGGTGAAATATGTTATCAACTTGAACGACGTATATTAGTTATAATACTTTCTAAATCAAAACAATTCTATGGTTATTCGCTTCGTTATTTATCATTAATAATTGAAAATGAATTAAATAAACATGATCAATTTATATATAAAAAACGTTTTATACAAATTAAAAAATTTCTTTTAAAAACAAATTTTCATTTTAATTATCATTCAATAATAACATTTTATTTTATAAATAAATATGGAATTTATTCCAATTATCAATGGTTAAATATTTATTCAAATATTTTATCAAATATAAATCAATTAAAAAATTTTTGTTATAAAATATTATCAAAAAAATTTCATGAAGATTTCACAATTATTATTAATAGTCTTGAATTAATTTCAAACTTTGATCATAAACCGTTATTCTATTGGTAATCGATTTTATTTCTTTGACATTATTGACATTATTTAATATGCATGTATTATTAGTACTAATAATAAAAGCAAATATCTTGAAAATAAATAAGAAGAACAAGATGAAGCAGAAGAACAGGAATAGAGTATTCCATCTGATTGTCTCAGTTCGGGAGAAGAACATGAAATTTATTCATCGGTTTTTTTTTCTTTGTTCCTCGATGCCGGAAAAGAGAGAGAGAGAGTGATAGGAAAAAAATGCGAATATAGACAATTATTAATACTATCATATAGTTCCTGCTCGAGTAAGCGAAAGAAACTGTCTTCATCATTATCATCATATTTTTTCTCATGTTCATCGTTGTGTAACTATGCAATATGAATTACGGAATAAGAATAATATATTTTATTTTATTTCAATATGTCAATACAATACGAAATCCATTACTTGTTCATATTGCAGGTATGATGAGAATAATTTTAAGTAGATACATGAAAATAATCAAATTAAGAAATAAATATATATATATATATATATATATATTTTTTGTCTATTCACAATATTAATGATTGATATTAATAGAATTTTGTTGGATACATAATTTGTATTTTTTTTTTATTTCTTACATGTTATTGATGTCTTTTAAGCAGAAAATCATTTGATACAATCGATTAATATATTTAATGATTACTAAATATTAAATACAAAATTTTTTAAGATCGATTTGAGAAATTATTTATTTCATTGTCTTGCTCATGCGATCGACAATAATCGAATAATGATACAAAAATACCAGAAGATTATAAAGATTTCTCTTTCGAATACTTCAATGACGAAGTAAAATTTAATAAGACTAATACAATATATTTTTGTTGAACAACATAACTGCTGTATTCAAGAATCTTCTCCAATGAACATTAATAATCATTCATAAGTTTACTTATTACTGATTAGAGCCCGTCGGATCCAAAATTTTCGAACTCGGACTCGATTTATTAAACGTTTTTTTTGGATCCGGATCCGATTTATTGAGCGTCCTTGGGATACGGACTTGGTTTATGGAGCGTTTTTGAAACTCGGATTCGATCGAATTGTACTTTGATACTTTCGATGAAATTTTTCAATCGGATTGAATGGTCGTCTCAAAAATACGAGATACTTCTCAGATGATTAGAGCCCGTTGGATCCAAAATTTGCAGATCCGGACTCGATGAGCTGTATTAACGATAGAAATCTTTTGTTAACATTGGACATTCTCTTTCAATATAAAACTGTTGAGTTTTCTGTTTCTTTTTTCTCTCTCTTTTAAACCTAAATTGAAATTTTTTTGTCAAGCACATCACTTGAACTTAGAACAACAAAGTCGTACAAGTTCAACTGAACCATATATCTATCGACATCGTTTAATAACACGATCAACAACAACAACACCACCAATAACAATAAATAATTATGATTTCTCTTCAACATCAACAACATTTCTTCATTATTATCAACCATCACCAACATTTATTAATGAATATATATCATCAAATCAAACAGAAAATATATGTCCAAGACAAAAAAATGTTCATAGAAATTGTCAACGTTCATGTCATGGAACAAATCAAAATACAAATTGTCGTCAACAAAAAATTTGTATATGTGATCATAATTGTGGATTTTCTTGTCTTTCAAGAAGTAATAAAATAATAATTAAAAATAAACAAAAAAAAAAAAATTTTTTTTCTTTTTTTTTACATTTAGCTATTATAACTGAACGATATCTTTGTCCATTAATAAATAATCCACCTCATGGTCGAATACATTATGATGGTCATTCATTTTATAGTCGTCTTATTTATGAATGTAATCCAGGTTATACAGTCGTTGGACCAAAAGAACGTATTTGTGTTAGTGATGGTTTTTGGGAACCAGTTGTTGATGTTTATTGTATACGTAAAGGTAAATCATTCAAATTAAAAATATGAAAAAATTAATCTTTTTTTGTGTTTTTTTTTTTGTTAGATGAAGTTTGTATAATGGATAATTTAATAAT